GGGGCGGGGGGGCCGAGGGCTTTTGCACGGGGCCATGGGCGACGTCGGGGAGCCCGGCCGGGGGCCCGCGCAGCCGGGGGCGCCGCTGCCCACCTTCCGCTGGGAGCAGATCCGCCCGCACAACCTCCCGGGCGACAAGTGGCTGGTCATCGAGCGTCGCGTCTACGACATCAGCCGCTGGGCACAACGGCACCCGGGGGGCAGCCGCCTCATTGGCCACCACGGCGCTGAGGACGCCACGGTAAGGAAGCCCACCGCTGGCCGGGTTGGAGCCTGGAGCTCGCTGGGGCCTGGTCGTGGGCACTGCGATCCGCTCTGCTTGCACGATCTGGCATCCTTTCTACTCTTCGCTGACCCTTGATACTCTTCGCTGACCCAGAATTGGGATGGACAAGCCAGGGCCTGATGTGGGCTGAGGAGGCCACGTCCCTGCGCGGAGGACCTGCACACCCGGCCATGGACGGGGTGGGGGCTGGGCTGGAGCGGGTCTGTAGGGGGAGTGAGGGGCTCTCAGAGGTGGGTGTGCCATGGCCGACTAGCCGCCTGAAGTGTGAGCCCTCCCTGCTGCTCTGAGCTTCTCTCTGTTCTGGGTCCCCCAGGCCAGGTTGCTTCTGCCGAGTGCCAGGGGTAGGGTGGGGTCCCCAGGGGACTGGCAAGGCTGTGCCACCAGAGGCTGGGGGCTGGGCAGTAAAGCTTGGGCAGTGCCCAGAGGTCTGTGGCTTTCCCAAGAGCTGCTGTAAACTGCTTTGAGGGGCAGTGACTCACCTCTCCTGGGCTGGCAGCTGCACGTGGGAGAACTTTGCCAGCCAGGCTGGGTGGGCCTCCTCGGGAAGCACAGTCACCCCAGGAATAGACTGACCCTTGGGAACCCCGACTTCCCTTTCCCAGCCCATGTCTAGACATGTCTTGCCAAGGAGGGTTGTGACCCGGTCCAGTGGGAGCATCTGGCCGGAGCCCAGTGGTAGAGCAGCCTGTTCAGGGAGCCTCCTCACCAGCCCCTTCCCGTGGTCCAGCAATCCCTTGTCTGGAGAGACCACGATGCTCTGCCTTGACCGTCGAACATTCGAGATGGGCCACACCGGGTACCAGGAATCTTCAAGATTCCAGGAGACGAATCCCTAAGTGGCAGAACTTTCGGCAGCAGAAGAGTGTGTCCTGTCCCGGGAGGTCCTGTTTACCAGGACTGCCAGGTTGGACAGTCTCCAAAGACTCTAAGGGAAAGGTCCCTCTTCCCCACTTCCCCCCTAAGAAGCCAAGGGTTTAGAGGCAGAAGCCTCCTGAAAGGCTAGACACTGACAGACTTGTCCACGGGCCGGGTGGTGGCCATGGAGTTGAAGACCACTAGGGGCCAACAAGTGGGTGGCCACGCACAGGCCTGTATGCGTGTGAGCGCTGCACGCATTCGTGTGCACGGTTGGACGCGCGTGCATTTCTGCCGGGGTATGGGGCGGTTGGGGTGCCGCTGCCCCTCCCCCTCAGCTGGCTGTGCCCTCGCCACCCCTGAGGGATCCTGTGGCTGCGTGCTCGGGCCTATTTCAACCTCGGAGCTGAAGGGCAGAATGGAGGCAGGCGAGAAGAAAGGCTGACGGAGGGCATTTCTCAATGCTCTTTCCTGCCTGGTGCCCAGGCCGGTGCTGGGGGGCCTCTCACAGGGGAACCCCATCAGACGCTTATCTCTTGACCCTGAGACCTCCATCTGGCAGGTTTCTCACTGATTCATCACCAGTAAGGTCTGTTGCCCATTTCCAGAGAAGCAGTCTGTGTGCTCCCTGGGGCTCGGTCCTGGCTCTGCCAGTGGAGACTCTGTGTGACCTTGAACCAGGCGTCACTCCTCTGAGCCTCAGTTTCCTCATCTGTAAAGAGGGGAGAGCTGGGCCAGACAGTGAGCCAGCTGTGGGCAGGACCCTGCCTTTTCAACTTTGTGGCCCCAGGCCTGCCCATGGAGTAGTCCTTCCTGGTCGGTATACGTTGCTGGCTGATAAGTGTGAGCATGTCCTGCAAACAGATGGACAGATTATAGACCGGCCCACTGCTGTGTGTGGTCAGGCCCAGCCCCCAGGCGCCCATTCCAGGCCGTGGAGCGCAGGTAGGGGTGGGGCAGCTGTCATGCCGGGGCTGTGTTCCTGAGGCCATCTCTCACTAGCCCCAGCCGCCCATCAGCTGTTCTCATGTCCAGGCAACAGAAGCCTTCCTGCCAGGAAATTCCCAGAGTTCCTGTGCCATGAAGTCAGCCTGTGGCCATCCTGGGATACAAAACTGGGTACCCTGGGGAGAGTGCTCTGGGCCCCGAGCCAGGTTTCTCTAAGAGTCATAGGCGGCTTGAGACTAGTGGAGGCAGCCAGGGAGGGGCGAGGCCTGGCTGTTGCTGACCAGAAGTATACCAGGGCTGGGTACTGAGTACTTGCTCTGTGCCAGGCTCCAGGTTTAGCACTTGACTTATGGATGCTCTCTTTTAATCCCCAGGATACCCCTAGGAGGCAGGTACTGTTACTGGTTTTTCCCACTTTACAGATGGGACAACTGAGGCTCAAAAAAGCAGAGTGACTTGAAATTAAGTGGTGGGTCTGAGATTTGAATCCATAGCCCATCTTCTTAACCCCACGCTACCCTGTGACTTCACCGGCTTTTCCATTCGTTCATTCTGCAATTATTGGATCAGTAAACCCAGGAGCAGATATTCAGCGAGCAGGTCCTAGCCACCAAACTCTGCTCTAACCTCTGAAGATCCAGCTGCGAACAAAACATCTCAAGGAGGAAGTTGGAGCAAAAGCTCAGAAGTGGGACGGTACTCAAGGAACAGTGAGGGTATGGTGTGGCTGGGAGGGGGCAGGCAGCGAGGTCCAGAGGTGACAGGAGTTGGCTGGGCTTCTGTGTCCTTGGAAGCGGGACTTTGGTTTATTCTAAGGGGATCTTTGGAGGGCAGAGCGGGGAAGCCAGGGGAATCTGATATACATTTAAAAGGATCCCTAGGGAAGACAGAGCCTTCCTGGAGAAAGGCAGGAGGCTGAGGGAAGAGATGGTGGGATGATTCTCCCGGGTAAGGTCACTCAGAAGAGGTGGCCATTCACCTGGGCTCCGAAACGCAGGCATGGCCAGGGCAGAAGGCAAGAGCGGCTATCGTGTGGCATTCAGACAACAACCGATTGAAAGAAAGCGGGTGTGAGTGTTCGCCCATTTTGCAGATGAGGAGACAGGCTGAATATGGGTGATGCGAAGGGACCTTCTTGGGGCCCTCAAAGGGCAGGGCATCAGGTCCTTGGGCTCAGAGGGTGGGACTTGTGTCTGGGTAGCAGCTGGGGGGAAGTGAGGTATATCCCAGGCCTCAGAGTGAGGGTGGGGCCTCAGAGAGGGGCTGGCCATGAACCCAGATGACCTGGCCCCAGAGCCCACGCTCAGGCTTCCTCCCACCTCGCTGGCTGCCTTGGAAACCCTGCTGCCTGATGGCCACTCCCCATGAAGTGTGACCTCTCCGTAGGTGGTTTCTGTAATGTCCCCACCCACTCAGGCCCCTTCCCAGGGTAGTCACAGTGCCCAGCTCCCCCCTGGGGGAGTGCTGGGCAGGAACACGGTACAGAGGTGGGCCGGGCGCGCTGGCGGTCCTGCTTTTCCTCCCCAGGGCACCCAAGCGCTACTCTGTATAGCAGAAAACAGCTAGGGAGAACCAGGGCCTGAGGAGGGAACTGGAGAGTGGTGGTGGAGAAAGTGTCAGTGGGTATGGCCCCTTTGGGGTCGCTGACTCGGGAAGCCAAGGGTGCTGGGGGGAGGAGCCCTACTGTGTGTGCTGGCCCGTCACCAGCCACACCAGGG